TCTCATCTTTGTTTGTGCTGTTCCTTGCTGTTTCTTTTTTGTGACAAATAAATGAACGAGTAAACATCTGTGATGTACAATGAGCTTGACTGCAAGACATTGTTTACAGCGGATAATAATAAATTATTATCCAATTAATATAAGCAGGAGATAAACTGTCTCTTATACACATCTAGATGTGTATAAGAGACAGATATACAGAAGAACAACAATGCATGCTGTGGGAGACATTGAGTCTCAGTGACGAAGGCTGAAATAATGCAAATCTACTAAAAACGTGTCATTAAATCCCACAGTTGTAATAATTTATCTGATCATCTGTTGAAGACACTCTGAACACACATACTATTACTATATTATGTCCTACCTCAACTGGAACAGGCACAGATGGCAATACAGGTGTAGAGGAGGTAACTGGTTTCCTGCGACCATCTTTTTTAGTTAACCGCTGAAATACACGTACAAAGACATTTGATTTTTTAGGGGCATGTACAAGTGGAGGTACAGGTGTTGACTTTCCTGCTGATGCCTGTACTGGTTCAGCTGCCTCTACTTGGCTTCCTTTTTGTTTCAGTTTCTCGGCAACTTTACTTTCTAATGCATTATCAAATATATCTTTGATCCGATCACATTCTATAAAAGATAAAGAAATTCATCAAAGCTTGAGTCAAAACAAATGAGAATAGGATTTTAAAGTTAAATTGTTTCTTGTCATACCGTCCATGTCCTCTGCCTCTTTCCAAACACTACTTATATCAGTAGTTTGAAAAGCAGTGGTCAACACTATTCCATCAGTCGATGGTTCTTCTTCATTAAATCTGTGGAAAGAGCAGTGTAATTACTGCTTGAATTGTTGAATTGTATATGTACATATTGTAGTATTTAAGTGCCATGATTGGGTTGTGGTTACATGGAGGAGTAGATACAAGATAACTTTATTGTCAGAAAGGAAACTACATTTGAATATTACATCGCATGAACAATTTTAAGAAGTCAAACATATAAATATAAAGGATGTGTTCGATATAAATTACGACATACAGTCTATAGTACAATATATACAACAAACATGCTGTTGGATGTATGGGTAATGACAATTAAGTACATGCATGTTTGAAACAATAATATTTATGTGGCATCATACTGTATTTTTTTTTTAAATATATAGAAAACAAATAAAATACAATACTTGTATAAAAAAGTACAGCAATACAGCAACATTTATATTGGAAATCCATTGACAGATACAGCACTTCGGAAACTTACGTTCTTTCAAGCAGAGTGTTTACCAAACAAGTCTTTCCCACCCCCTCTTTGCCTGTCACCATTAATCGTGCATGGTTTACCGTGATCCTTCCTTCTTGTAATTCCTCATTAAAAACCTTCAGAGCCTCACTGCCTCTGGCTAAAATTACCTCTGGAACTACATAGTCTATTTTACAAAGGCAAAATATTGTTTTTTAACAATAAAAGTACAAAGAAAAAACATAAACAGGTTAAATGTGAATAAAAATCTTTTAAAATGTTAAAATAATTAAGAAAACACAATCCTAAGGCAAATGACTCATTATTATAAAATTTCAAAAATATTATTATAATAGAAATGGATATAGGGAAATAATCATTTATAAAAAATAAGATGATTTGCTTATTGTCTTAAAAATATTATCATTTTCACCGTTATTGTCATAATCATCATCAATACTGTATTAAAACAAATAATAATAATAATAATAACATTTATAAGTTGACTCTTATGATATTCTAGATCAAAATTATTTGGGTGATATGAAATACCGAAGTAGGTACATGGGCTTAATGAATATTTTAACTTTGAATGTTAAATATTTAATTTATTGTAAGTATTTGTTTTCTGTGAAGGTACCAAACTTTAAAAGTTCACTTTTGGTGTGTCCCATCTCATCTTTGTTTGTGCTGTTCCTTGCTGTTTCTTTTTTGTGACAAATAAATGAAATGACCCACAAGGAGTAAACATCAGTGATGTACAATGAGCTTGACTGCAAGACATTATTTACAGCGGATAATAATAAATTATTATCCAATTAATATAATCAGGAAATAAAATAACATTGACCTACAGGTAATAAACAATAACATGAATAATTAAATTGTATTAACTGCTCACCTTGCAGAAGTTGCAAGACTTCTTCCTTGTGTTTTTCTCTATTTGTAGAATCATACTCCTCACATTCATTCTGTATATAGAGGTCACGTGGCGTCTCATTGTCCTGTAAAAATAATAACACATAAAACTTAAAACAAATCAATATCGATCATTCTACTTTAAAAAATACTTCATGGAAAGTATCACGCAAAAATAATCACAAGAAGTATCCTAAAAGAAATATTATATGTACATATCAGTGCAATTTTCTTTTATATCTTGCAAAGATTGAATCATAAGTATTGATTATAAGACCATTCCCTTAACAACACAATCGCTTGTTGTGCTAATATTACTGTACCGGTGGTCTTCAGAATCTTTGTCAATCAATCAAGCAGCAACAACAGCTATTTAAATAACTCAAGCAAGAATAGATCTAGGATGGGGAGAAGTGAATATTGTGGATAACCTTTCCCACAAAAATACATAGGCCTAGACAAGAGCAATCCCTTTATACCAAGTAATAGAAACAAAGTTAACATTTCTAAAGTCAAGATGCTTTGTGGAGTGGTTTACATTTTACCAAATAACCTACAATTAAGCTCATCTCATTCCCACCCTCATTCACCCCAGCCATGGACTCTCTTCTCTCATATTAGGCTCCACTACTGATACTGTGCTGCTGTTTATGTAATCATTATCATCATATTATCAAACAATTTCATCTGGTCTTGTTGATATTATCCATCAACAGAAAAGCCAGAATTATTTTATTTATTTGTATGAGACTTCAACATCATTAACAGACCTCAGAATGTGGAAAGTTCTGGGGTCAGGCCTCCATGAACAACCTGTATACACTACCTAGCCATCCTCCATTCTTTAATCCTAGATCAGCCACTGCTCAAGCTGTAAGCAAATTTTTTATATTATTTTTTGAATTGGTCTTATTTTCTGAATTGGTCTTATTTTCATCTTCCACATCACCAATGGAACTGCAATCACCTTCATATTCAAGATTGCTTGTATTATCATTAACCAAACATGTGATGAAATAAATTCTTTTTGCCTGCTGCATAAAATGAAAGACATGGACAAACAGTAAAAGGCAATTCAATTATTGATAAATATTGAAAACAACAAACGGATACAATATAATAATAATGTACCTATAGGATTGGATTTATTTGGTGTAAACACCAAGGATAGCCCACAAAAGTCTAGAAGACGACTTATTTCCAGTGGGGTCCTTCTGGTGGTGATTGGGCAGTACACCGGGAGACAATCCCTACTCTTTTCTGAAAAGTGTACTGCGTTCTTTAACGTGCACATGGGCCATATGCACACAGGACCAACGGCTTAAACGTCTCATCCGAATGACGGTGCGCTATTGTAACTTGTATTTCAGCCCTCTAGCTGAATCACAAGGAGAGGCAGCGATGGGAATTGAACCGGGGACCTAGAGATCTCCATGGTTCAGCGCACACACAACGGCTACCACCAGATTATCTTTTTTTTTTTTTTTTTTTTTTTTTATTCATCTTCAAAAAAACATGACAAAGACATTCAAGGCACAAGGAAAGGAACAGTAAAACGTTAGTCATTCCTTATTTATAACATTCTCATTTCATTTTTAACAAATCATTTTTTCTCTTGTAGATATCATTTTAAATCTGTGGAAGTACCTTATTTTAATTTAACATTAAACACAATAGTAGTAGGTATAACCTCCTTTACTTTAAACAGAAAAACATTAGAAATGAGTATACAAGGTAGAGGTACGTGGATTATTTGCACAATTTCAGATAAAATTCAAGCCCATAACAATGTTTAATTTATAGCAAGTTAGAATCTAAACACTCAATCCACAGAAGAAACTAAATATTTTCAGTGGTGCTCCCGCAAAAAGTATACTAAGATGAACTATGAAACATATGCAAAAAACCAGACAAACTTTAAATGGGAAGGAGTACAGTATATGGAATTAAATTATTATTTTGAAAGAATTCAGAAAAGGTTTCAGTAATAGCTTTCTTTTAACAATACAAGGCCTTTTTTTGGGAAGGGGGGGGGGGCTGTTGTCATATAAATTTGAAGCCAGATCTAAAAGTAAACATGTATAAACAGGAAAACACAAATAACCACCACCAGATTAGCCGACTTAGCTAAGCTGCTCATATCTACTAAAGCTATCATCACCATCTACTTCAGAATCATCATCACGATCCAAACCATCACCTTTGGAATCATTGGAAGCATCATCATCATTAAATTATTAAAACACTCAAAATTTATGTATTAATATAAATTATTAGTATTATTATTAATATTACTATGTTTATACTGTAGGGATATCTCCAAAATACAATTTACACCAACATATTGTATTTCTTATCTAATAGCAGGAATCATGTGACATCCATACAATTATACAAATTTGAATGACATTATTTACTCCACTATATATCTTGTATATTTTACCTTATTCTCTATATTTACATCAGCCCCGGCATCCAAAAGAAGTCTTGCAATGTCAAGGTGATCTCTGAATATATGTTTGGTTTTTAACAGCTTGTGAAGTGGAGTCTCTTGCCACTGTAACACATTGGAAACAAAGAGAGTGAATCAATAAATGACAGCTCATATGATCATATTAATCAACATTCAAAGGAAATCCACTCTTATTCTTAATTTGTAAACATTAATAATATAAAACTAGATTTTAACTCGTCACTGAGGACGAGTTTGGTGATCCGCCGTACTTTGACACTCAGGAACTGAATGAGTTGGTAGGAATACAAACAAATGTAATTTTTTTCTGCTTGATTCTCTCGCCCGGTTCATCACTTTTAAGGATGTAACCTCGGGAGAAGTATTTATTTTTTTTTTATTCAGTAATTACTTTAATTTTTTTATTGTTTGTATCATGTTATGCAAATTGCAATATTTTTTGTATGAATATATTTCATATGAATTGAAATAAAAGTGATTTAACATCAACATTCAATGACTATAAATCAACATAATTAAAAGAATGTAATACAAATAATGTAAAATAGTAATTTAAGCAATCATATTCGGTGGAGTATGCAGGTCATTAGGACCTTTGTGGATATGTCCCTACCAGCGATGTATACTTCAGTAGCTGTCTCTTATACACATCTAGATGTGTATAAGAGACAGACATTCAATGAGTATAAATCAACACAATTAAGAGAAATTGTGATACAAATAATGTAAAATAGTAATTTAAACAATCATATTTGGTGGGGTATGTTCATTAGGACCTTTGTGGAATGTCCCTACCAGCGATGTATACTTCAGTAGCTGTCTCTTATACACATCTAGATGTGTATAAGAGACAGACATTCAATGAGTATAAATCAACACAATTAAGAGAAATTGTGATACAAATAATGTAAAATAGTAATTTAAACAATCATATTTGGTGGGGTATGTTCATTAGGACCTTTGTGGAATGTCCCTACCAGCGATGTATACTTCAGTAGCTGTCTCTTATACACATCTAGATGTGTATAAGAGACAGACATTCAATGAGTATAAATCAACACAATTAAGAGAAATTGTGATACAAATAATGTAAAATAGTAATTTAAACAATCATATTTGGTGGGGTATGTTCATTAGGACCTTTGTGGAATGTCCCTACCAGCGATGTATACTTCAGTAGCTGTCTCTTATACACATCTAGATGTGTATAAGAGACAGACATTCAATGAGTATAAATCAACACAATTAAGAGAAATTGTGATACAAATAATGTAAAATAGTAATTTAAACAATCATATTTGGTGGGGTATGTTCATTAGGACCTTTGTGGAATGTCCCTACCAGCGATGTATACTTCAGTAGCTGTCTCTTATACACATCTAGATGTGTATAAGAGACAGACATTCAATGAGTATAAATCAACACAATTAAGAGAAATTGTGATACAAATAATGTAAAATAGTAATTTAAACAATCATATTTGGTGGGGTATGTTCATTAGGACCTTTGTGGAATGTCCCTACCAGCGATGTATACTTCAGTAGCTGTCTCTTATACACATCTAGATGTGTATAAGAGACAGACATTCAATGAGTATAAATCAACACAATTAAGAGAAATTGTGATACAAATAATGTAAAATAGTAATTTAAACAATCATATTTGGTGGGGTATGTTCATTAGGACCTTTGTGGAATGTCCCTACCAGCGATGTATACTTCAGTAGCTGTCTCTTATACACATCTAGATGTGTATAAGAGACAGACATTCAATGAGTATAAATCAACACAATTAAGAGAAATTGTGATACAAATAATGTAAAATAGTAATTTAAACAATCATATTTGGTGGGGTATGTTCATTAGGACCTTTGTGGAATGTCCCTACCAGCGATGTATACTTCAGTAGCTGTCTCTTATACACATCTAGATGTGTATAAGAGACAGACATTCAATGAGTATAAATCAACACAATTAAGAGAAATTGTGATACAAATAATGTAAAATAGTAATTTAAACAATCATATTTGGTGGGGTATGTTCATTAGGACCTTTGTGGAATGTCCCTACCAGCGATGTATACTTCAGTAGCTGTCTCTTATACACATCTAGATGTGTATAAGAGACAGACATTCAATGAGTATAAATCAACACAATTAAGAGAAATTGTGATACAAATAATGTAAAATAGTAATTTAAACAATCATATTTGGTGGGGTATGTTCATTAGGACCTTTGTGGAATGTCCCTACCAGCGATGTATACTTCAGTAGCTGTCTCTTATACACATCTAGATGTGTATAAGAGACAGACATTCAATGAGTATAAATCAACACAATTAAGAGAAATTGTGATACAAATAATGTAAAATAGTAATTTAAACAATCATATTTGGTGGGGTATGTTCATTAGGACCTTTGTGGAATGTCCCTACCAGCGATGTATACTTCAGTAGCTGTCTCTTATACACATCTAGATGTGTATAAGAGACAGACATTCAATGAGTATAAATCAACACAATTAAGAGAAATTGTGATACAAATAATGTAAAATAGTAATTTAAACAATCATATTTGGTGGGGTATGTTCATTAGGACCTTTGTGGAATGTCCCTACCAGCGATGTATACTTCAGTAGCTGTCTCTTATACACATCTAGATGTGTATAAGAGACAGACATTCAATGAGTATAAATCAACACAATTAAGAGAAATTGTGATACAAATAATGTAAAATAGTAATTTAAACAATCATATTTGGTGGGGTATGTTCATTAGGACCTTTGTGGAATGTCCCTACCAGCGATGTATACTTCAGTAGCTGTCTCTTATACACATCTAGATGTGTATAAGAGACAGACATTCAATGAGTATAAATCAACACAATTAAGAGAAATTGTGATACAAATAATGTAAAATAGTAATTTAAACAATCATATTTGGTGGGGTATGTTCATTAGGACCTTTGTGGAATGTCCCTACCAGCGATGTATACTTCAGTAGCTGTCTCTTATACACATCTAGATGTGTATAAGAGACAGACATTCAATGAGTATAAATCAACACAATTAAGAGAAATTGTGATACAAATAATGTAAAATAGTAATTTAAACAATCATATTTGGTGGGGTATGTTCATTAGGACCTTTGTGGAATGTCCCTACCAGCGATGTATACTTCAGTAGCTGTCTCTTATACACATCTAGATGTGTATAAGAGACAGACATTCAATGAGTATAAATCAACACAATTAAGAGAAATTGTGATACAAATAATGTAAAATAGTAATTTAAACAATCATATTTGGTGGGGTATGTTCATTAGGACCTTTGTGGAATGTCCCTACCAGCGATGTATACTTCAGTAGCTGTCTCTTATACACATCTAGATGTGTATAAGAGACAGACATTCAATGAGTATAAATCAACACAATTAAGAGAAATTGTGATACAAATAATGTAAAATAGTAATTTAAACAATCATATTTGGTGGGGTATGTTCATTAGGACCTTTGTGGAATGTCCCTACCAGCGATGTATACTTCAGTAGCTGTCTCTTATACACATCTAGATGTGTATAAGAGACAGACATTCAATGAGTATAAATCAACACAATTAAGAGAAATTGTGATACAAATAATGTAAAATAGTAATTTAAACAATCATATTTGGTGGGGTATGTTCATTAGGACCTTTGTGGAATGTCCCTACCAGCGATGTATACTTCAGTAGCTGTCTCTTATACACATCTAGATGTGTATAAGAGACAGACATTCAATGAGTATAAATCAACACAATTAAGAGAAATTGTGATACAAATAATGTAAAATAGTAATTTAAACAATCATATTTGGTGGGGTATGTTCATTAGGACCTTTGTGGAATGTCCCTACCAGCGATGTATACTTCAGTAGCTGTCTCTTATACACATCTAGATGTGTATAAGAGACAGACATTCAATGAGTATAAATCAACACAATTAAGAGAAATTGTGATACAAATAATGTAAAATAGTAATTTAAACAATCATATTTGGTGGGGTATGTTCATTAGGACCTTTGTGGAATGTCCCTACCAGCGATGTATACTTCAGTAGCTGTCTCTTATACACATCTAGATGTGTATAAGAGACAGACATTCAATGAGTATAAATCAACACAATTAAGAGAAATTGTGATACAAATAATGTAAAATAGTAATTTAAACAATCATATTTGGTGGGGTATGTTCATTAGGACCTTTGTGGAATGTCCCTACCAGCGATGTATACTTCAGTAGCTGTCTCTTATACACATCTAGATGTGTATAAGAGACAGACATTCAATGAGTATAAATCAACACAATTAAGAGAAATTGTGATACAAATAATGTAAAATAGTAATTTAAACAATCATATTTGGTGGGGTATGTTCATTAGGACCTTTGTGGAATGTCCCTACCAGCGATGTATACTTCAGTAGCTGTCTCTTATACACATCTAGATGTGTATAAGAGACAGACATTCAATGAGTATAAATCAACACAATTAAGAGAAATTGTGATACAAATAATGTAAAATAGTAATTTAAACAATCATATTTGGTGGGGTATGTTCATTAGGACCTTTGTGGAATGTCCCTACCAGCGATGTATACTTCAGTAGCTGTCTCTTATACACATCTAGATGTGTATAAGAGACAGACATTCAATGAGTATAAATTCATAAAATCCATTGGTTTGATTATCAGCATAATAACATAATAATGTTAAATCATAAGTATTAGTATTACTAACTCGCAAAAAAACATTATTAACTAACACAAACGTAATAAAATCCACTGTTTTCCCCCAAGAAATCATGGATACAGTAGCAATAGATTACAATAGGGAGATTATTGTTAACCACACACACATAGCATACGCACAGCTCTGTGCCTATTTGGCGTTCCATACAAATATATTACGGCCGAACAAGGTACGGCCGAAACGGACGTCATTCAATATACCCTGGCCTAGTAGACGGTAGGTGTAGGCCTAGCCTTGGATAGTCTAGCGTTGACCTCCTGTTTAATGAAACAAACCTTTAGTCCTAGGCCTAACTAAGACTTAATAGGAGTATGCCTATAATAATAATAGTAATTACATCATTCATAAGACATAGGCAGCTCGACTCCACCAGCCAGGCCTTGCATTTCACAGCAGCCTTCTATAGACAAGTGTCACCGTCAGACAGGCCTTAATAAAGTGCCAAGGTCTGTGACCTAAATAACACGTAAAAGTTTCAAATAATGTGTCTGGGCCTAGCCTAGCTCTCAGTAGGGCATCGAATTGGCTCCACAAAAAAACCCGTTGAAGTATTAAAAACTAAAACCATATTAAGAGGTCTATATTTCACGAAAAATATAAATTAGTATTTTTTAATTGTTATCATTTAATTATTTATTGTTATTTATTATGTCTTGGCTATTAACAATGATAATGAAATTGTGATAAATGCTTGTGATGATGGATTAATAAATTTGAAGATGGTGAATTGTCATTTAGTGTTTATAATGAATAATGTGTTGTTTCCTATACGTACCCGCTTGTCTTGCAAATTGACATTGCGTGCAGAAATCATCAGAGATTCTCTCATTTCCTGTGCATAGCCGAGTTTTGCAATGCGATGTAGAGTACAATCACCAAGGTACTACACAGTGAACAAGGAATATGAAAACAGAGAATACAACACATCATCTCTTTAAAAATATTTTTTAGGTAATTTAATTTTATGGAGTATCTAATTAAAATTGCAAATTTATTGAATTCAGTGCTCAATACAGATCAAAACAAGATCAAACACGATTGCGAAATTTTCAGGTAAAGCAAACTACTGTATAAACCAACTTTTTTACATTCATTTTGCTGTATCACACAACATGGACGCCCTATGTTTTGTACATGTTAAATCATCATTTAAAAAAAAAAAAAAAAATTAGGTATTGTACTTTTTATGGATAATTTAATGAAAATTATAATAATTATATGCAGTGTTAAATGTGGACCAAAACAACACCAAACATGAATGGGAATTTTTTATGTAAACCTGATTTCCAGCAATTTTAGACAAGTTTTTTTGGCCCATGATGAACTGCTGTCACTCAGTTAAGCAATGTAAAGAAATGTTATTTTTACACGTTAACGATGCGGAAATTTAAACAATAAATGATCAATATTGATCGCAAAATACAATAAAATATCATATTTATATTGTGGATAAAGGATTAAAATATGTTTTAAGTGTAATAAATTGTTGTTAGGTAAGAATTGATGTAGAGTGGTGTATGGTATGTTGTGTATAGATGCTGTGTTGTTGTATTTTGTGTGTTGATGTCGTAATTGTAATGATACATAATTCTACTCACCCAGTTGTCCACGTAGTCCACGGCTTCTGCCGTCGCTGATTTCAAACTCCCAGCGACGACATCACGTGGTGGGCTTTGCCACACAATCTGATATAATAACGACCAGCCGAGCTACGAAAACAACAAAATACGATGATAACAAAACACATTCAACTATCACACATACACAAAATATCACATATAAACACAACTTAATCACATCATAATTACATTAAATAATCACAATCAATTAAATATTCAAATATTATTACAAATTAACTAACAGTTTAAAGCTAAATCGTTTAAAATTGTAAATTTTAGCATTTTTTTTCTGAACGCTTTCCCCTTCTTTTGCATTGAAAATTGTTTAATTCATTTAGGGTTTTGTTCAGATCATAATTTTTTTATGAATTTTGTATTTTTAACATTCTAGATATATTTCTTTTGTATAAAGGTTTGAAAAGAATACAGACAATGATATGTTTTATCCACTAGTTAACATTTTTCTTTATCATTAGGCCTATACTGACTTCAGATAAAATTCCCTATTCTTTATCATTAGATACATAAAATCTGTTATCCCATCTGTTCGGAATCATATTTTTTTTTAAGCTATATTTTTATGATCATATTTGATTTTCTCTTGAGTAGAGTTTTAAAAGTAATCCAAACACATATATGTTTTAACGAATAATTAATGATTTTACCAAGCTTTAAACCTATGCTATTTTCAGACAAAATCTGCCTATTCTTCATTGGATAGGGCCTACTATGGCCATGGGCTCCTATCTGTTCGGAATCATAATTTTTTCGAAATATGATATTTTAAACCTCGTAACTGGCTTTCTCTTGATTAGAGTTTTATAACAAATACAAATACTTATATATTATATTGATTAACTAAAAAAATTTAAAGCATCTTATACAAACTTCAGACAAAAATGTGTTTATTCTTTATCATTAGATACATACACATATTAATTTATAATTCTGTTTGGAATAACAATTTGTTTTGTATATGATATTTTATTTTTTGAATTAAAAACTCAAAGTGTTTTCTAGCATAACATAGAATATTTTGTTATCAATTACATGGTACAGCCGACAATATAATGGAGTTACTACACAGTATCATGGTAAGCATCGGACTCTAGAGGGCGCCAGACTAGTATTTTTGGTTATCAGATGATCGTCGCTCGTCTAAATTTACTGTGAAACCGAACCAATAGCTAGTAATTTAATGCAGGCCTATTTTATTTTTGTATGTTTCTTTACTTATGTATGCACCATGCATTTTGTATGAGTGCTACTGTAATCAAAGTGGATCCAATAATTGATTGATTGATTGACCGTGTTTGGGGACATTAAGCCTACATTATTGATAGCCAGATCCATTGACTTCACATTTAATTGATAAAGGCATGGTAACAGAAATTAAATATTTCGTGGTTAACAATTACATAGTTAGTAGGTCTGGTTTTAGATTGAAATTTCCAACACGTAAGAAACAGAAAATGATTTATTCCCGACTCCATTCGTATAACTTTATGGAAAAACATATCTCTCTACTTTAATTATTTATGTTAGGAAAATTTTAAATACAATATCAATCAATTCTTTTGATGTGCAATTATACACACTGGGGCGTATTTTTTAAGTTCATGAAGAAGTCTCCAGTTACTTTGTATAAGATCAATCCCACAATAATTTAAATAAATTAATCCCACAGTTTTGTAATCTTAAAAAAATTTTTTAATTGTTTTACATGTAATAATCATTTGATGAATATATATATATATACATATATATATATATATATATATATAGGCATATATAGCCAGAACAGTATCTGTCTCTTATACACATCTAGATGTGTATAAGAGACAGATATATATATATATAGGCATATATAAATTAAATGGTGGTTCCAGTTGCGGTGGAAGGTCTCCAGTCAAAGAGAGCCAGCCCTCCCGACCGAAAAAGTATCAATGCAATTCGTTTGGGAGGAAAAACAATCTATGTTACTTTTACCGAACGAGGCCGTGCAATCGATTACGAACCTTCAGCATTCAAAATCTCTACATTTCCAGGGCTTTCGGGCCCGGGGCGCCCCCCGGTCCCCCTTAGAGGTTCCAGGACATCGCCCCTTCCCTACCATCGGTTAAATCTTGGCTCCACCATTTTTCTTTTGTAATGATTTTTCATAAAGTATAACAAGTTGCTTACAACTTTGAGATTATCTTTTGGCCAGCAAGATCAACTCTAAAAATAATTTGGGCCTTCAAATAAATTAATCAAGAGCCAAGGGCATAGTCCATACATGATTGGATTGTAGTTTTATAAAAAATATTTAAGAGTGATTAAGTAAAAAAATGCTATATCCAATATAGTCTTATTTAATTTGCGAAATGGTTATTCCCGAATACAAAGATTTTATCAATACGGTCCTACTTCTACTTATAATTTCAATTTTGCTAGAAATTAAGATGGTTTATGGTC